TATTTCTTCTTTTCAAGAGGGAGAATTACCATCTTGGTAATTCTTTTTTAAATTAATTGTTTTAATTAATATAGAAATTGTATTTTATGACTATATTTATATTTTATATTGATATATTTTATGTTGTAAGCCGACCTGAGTAGACATGGTCTAGAGGGGCGGGGTATAAATTTAATAAATAAATAAATAAATAAATCTTGTAACTTTCAAGCCAGAGTTTGAACTTGCCCTTCGCCATCTATACTGCTTGCTGGGCAAGCGTAGAACTATAACCCCATGACCCCTGCATTTGTATCACATACTCCATATCATCAGAGCAAGCCATATGAGAGTTTTCTAGCAAGCAGCATTGAACTAAACTTTAGTGCCCTGGAAACAGGACCAGAATTTCTTTGGTTCTATTATCACATGATCTCTTTTGAATAAATGAACTCTTTCATGGATATGCATTTTGTACTAGTAACTTTGTGAAACACTTTAAAGAGGTTCCTTTAACTAGGTCTCTGATCTATGACCCCTCTGGAAACAATGGTTGTATTGAGTTCATTCCTTTTTAATGAAACCCAATTCCTCACTCAGGAGAAGAAAACCAGAGATATTAATTCTGAGATTTATTTCATCTCCTTTTAGACCAATGTGATTTTCTTCCCCTTAAACGTTAGGTGAACAAAAGCTTGTTTCTTTTTCCTTTAGAGATAATTATTCAAGTAAAAGAAAGAATCTTTCTAAAACTGGGTAGGTCTGCACCCTTAACTACTGTTCCATTAATTTTTTTTAGTGCACACTTCAGTAAGTCCAAAGAAAGGAGTTAATAAAAGTATCCTGACCTTCATTATGTTTAAACGTTGACATACAATTGCAATATTATCTTTCTTCATGATAATAGAACATTTATTTGTTTCAGTGGCATTTACAAGTAAAATAGAGCTAATTTTTATTGTTTATCTGAGCTTAATGTCCATCTGAATAATTCTTTCTCTGTTCTATTTGATGTAAAAAGAATCTCTGTTCTTAGATACTAGAAGCCACAATACCTTTCGATATTGTATACAGTTCAGTAGAAATGCATGAGAACTATGCTTTATATTTATTTATTTATTTATTTAACTTATATGACGCCCACATTACCACAAGAAAGGTGGGTACAACAAAACTGTGATTGTGAAATAATTTTTTGATTTTTTCCCCCCTTAGTGATGATGGCCAAAGAGAAACCACCAATAACAGTAGTTGGAGATGTCGGAGGTAGAATTGCCATAATTGTGGTAAGGAACAAAAGGCCAAGAGGGTGAATGGGATTTCCCCCAGTTTCATCTTTTTAAATTATTTATACCTAGATATAGCTGAGATTTCAGTTCCTGGGCTTGAAGCCAAAAGTTCATTGTTTCTACTGGAACACTTAAGCAGTCATACAATATCTTCCTGTTTCATTTTTTCCCCCTGCTTCATTAAATAAGAATGTTGTACTACAGTGTTAGGTGTTTATTACAGCACACTGTGGTATAGACTTCCCAAATGTTCCCATTTCATTAAATGTGTAAAAAGAAACCAATGCTGAGATGGACATGAACTGCAGTTCAGTGGTTTGACCCAGTTTGGCACCACACCTGCAGGTGTTCTGTGGGTCTGGCACACTCCCCTCTCCTGCCTCCTCTGCCTGTTCACTCATTCCTTGGGCAATGCGTGCTTCCCTCTGCCTCCTCCAGCAGCCATCCACTCAGACGAGGAGGCAGGGCAGGGAAGCCTGCAGCACTACCTTTGAGTGGGCAGCCACCAGAGGAGGGGAGTGTGTGCTGGGATGGCTGAGTGGGAAGTCACACTGAGGAGGTGGGAAGGGAAGCATGCATCACTCAAGGAATGGGCAGATGTGCAGAGGAGGTGGGAGAGGGGAGTGCACTGTGCCGGTGGAACACCTGTGCAGATGTGGCACCAGACTGGGCCAAACCACAGAACTGCAGTTTGTATCCATCTCTAATCCTGATCTGGATGGATTGTAGCTCCTTTCTTGTGTGCACCACTTTGTTTGGAATTACATGTTGTCCTCAAAGCCGAGACTCTGCAGTATAGTAGTCTTCCCATTTGGGGGAGTGTTTGTTTGAAAATCCTAAATTGAGACATCAAAGCCCTTCTGAGGCTTGTGAGAAGCTTGCCAGTGTGACAGTGGTTTGGTTGGGGTGAGCTGTGTTTTAGATTATCTGTTAGTCCAATAGTAGCTCTAACAGATTTGGTGTGTTGCCCCGGCTCTTCACTGCTTCCCAGGCAAGTACCAAATGTACTGCAGCTTATGCTGGTTCCTCCACAGTCCATGTGGCTAGCAGGGCCTTGTCCCAAAACTGTATATGATACTCAGTCTACATTCTGGCTTCTCACAACATGGAGATATCATTGGGGAAAACATACCTGTGGTGAGATCTCTGCAGCAAACTGCTGACAAAAGCACAGCGCAGAAGCCTGAAGCAATCTTTGGAAGCATCCGGTTGGAACAGTGCACAAGAAAGCCATTGTTGTGATGTCAAAGTTCTTTGTAGCTTTTGGACTTTCAGTCCCCAAAAAATGGATTCTGTCCAGATTTCCCCAAACCTTAGGAGAAGGGGTTTCCTCAACCACAGATCATAGTAATGCATGACCTTTATCATAGTAATTGTTTGTGGGCAGGTAGAATATACTTGCTGCTAAAATACTAGTTGGTAAGATACCAAAACTTTGCATAGTGGTCACAATTGACTAGATAGGTGGGGTATTAATGAAATAAATAAATAAATAAATAAATAAATAAATAAATAAATAAATAAATAAATAAATAAATAAATAAATAACTTAGTTGCAGCATTTCCAGATGATGGCAGAGGCCTGTGAGGCAAAGGAGTGTGGTTTGGATTTCCTAGCAACTTCCAGGTTTTAAAAGACATTTCCTTTGATTCTCAGGATGACATCATTGACGATGTGGAAAGCTTTGTGGCAGCAGCCGAAATCCTGAAAGAGCGCGGTGCTTACAAGATCTTTGTCATGGCCACTCATGGGCTCTTGTCTGCAGATGCTCCACGCTTGATTGAAGAGTCATCAATTGATGAGGCAGGTATCCATAGGTGGTAGATTGAGCCCCTTGTCTGTAAAAAGGAGTGTGTTTTTTCTGTTTTAAAATATCAGTATCAAATCATGGGGTGTAAACCCACTGGTAAGTTGTGTGTGAAGTGCAAGCCTGTTGTAGGTATTAATTATGGAGGTGTAAATGACATTAATATGTAATTGTTAATGGGTAAAGCTAACTGTCATGTTTCAAGGGAAAAAGGATTATGTCATATCAACAGCTTGACTGTTCACTTCCTGTGTTAATTAGGCTATTGTGACCTTGGAAGCTCACTACCAAGATTAATGTACTGTTTTCACTTCATCCTTTTTCCATCCTTGCACCATATATACTATACATAAACCCATGGCCCAAATCTGAGGTTCATGTACCTGGAAAAGGGGGTTGTATATCTGGGAGCTCATTCTAAAATGTTAGTCTTAAAAATATTACTGTATATTTTTCTTTCCTTCTATTTCTCTTTTTTTAGTATAAGGTTATCTTGATTTCTGCCTTCATTTCTCTTTTCCTAAGAGATCTAGTAGCTCAGAGAAAGTTCATTTGGTTTAAACAGTTTTTCTGAAATTGGAGGCCAAATGTCTTTCTTTTGTCAGTTGTAGATAAATAATTGACTTAAAACTAAACCTTATAGAAAGAGAATCCCCTAAGGTTTATTTTTCTAAAGAAAATAACTTTTCTACTTTACCCTGAGCTGTACCTTTCCTCCTCTATTTGCATTCAGCAGTTATTTTTCACGTAGCTGTAGTTTTGCACTTCATGTTTCTAGACTGTGAGTTAGATCCAGAATCACTAAAATCAGCAGGACTTAAATTACTCTTGACTAATTTGACCTGTTGAAATCAATGGGAGTACTCTAAGCATAGCTATCAAATGCTGTGATGAAAAATTGTTCCCTGAGTACAAGACCTTATCCTGCTGTTTCTGGTTACTGGTGTTCAGACTTTTGAAAGGCTGCATACACCCTGAAGCAGGGGGTAGAAGAACTGTGGCTTTCCAGATAATGTTGTACTCTACTATCTATGACAGGAACCTTGACTAATCTGCTTGGTAACAGGGAAGCAAGATGATTGGCTGGGTGGTACATGTGGTGCTGGAAGTAAAGGAGGGAGAAAAGTATAACAAGAAATAAAAGTGGTTTGTTGGGTTGTGACTGAAGAAGAACTGAAGCTTAGATCTCTTCTCAAGCTGATGTTACTTTGTAATAAAAAGACTATCATGTTTCATTCTTTAACCACTAGGTCTGATGTGGTTAATGGTTGATGTCATACTTTTTAAAGGAAAGCTATTTTTTAAAGTGACAAGCCTAAGCTCGGGCTGGTCACAACATCCATTAGCCTTCATCTTGGCTCAACTGGCTACACTTGATAGGAATTGGAGTCCCAACAACATCTGGAAGGCCATAGCTTGTATGTCCCTCATGCAGAGTAATGCTGGAAAGCCTCCAGTCTTGTTATACACTTCTGTACTGTGAGGCACTGTATAGGAACGCTTCACATTTCATACCATTTTGTATGTAGCTTCCCTCTGGAGGAAAAAAAAACAGGCACATTGAAGTTCTTGTTCTTAGTTGGTGGTCAGCCAGGGTTATACACATTCTTTAACCTGCAGTGAGAAGGGCTTTCGTGGAGCTTCACTGGCTAAATTGGATTAAACCGCAGAAGCCTCTGTACTGCAGGGACAGAAGACCAGCAGTTGTAAGATCGAATCCATGCGACGGAGTGAGCTCTCATCGCTTGTCCCAGCTCCTGCCAACCTAGCAGCTCGAACGCATGTAAATGCGAGTAGATAAATAGGTACCATCACGGTGGGAAGGTAACAGGGTTCCGTGTCTAGTCGCGCTGACCACGTGACCACGGAAACTGTCTTCGGACAAACGCTGGCTCTACAGCTTGGAAACGGGGATGAGCAACGCGCCCTAGAGTCGGACACAACTGGACTAAATGTCAAGGGGAACCTTTACCTATTATTTTCATAAAACCTTGCTTTTTTGGTTTATCCTGTAATCATGCAATCATTATAATAGCATTACTTAATTATATAGTGATGTACATTAGATACAAATATTTGAAGCAATCTATAAATCCAGCTGCAATGTCTCTTACATTATAGAATCAATGATAATGTAGGTACTTGGTTTTTGGTTTTTAAAGTCAGATTTTGTTCTTTGTGGATTTACTTGAAATTGATGTTTTAGTCTTTTTTCCTAATTTTTCCCCCCTTCTGCATTGGTAGGTAGTCGTCACCAATACAGTTCCTCATGAAGTGCAGAAGCTGCAGTGTCCCAAGATAAAGACTGTGGATATCAGTTTGATTCTCTCTGAAGCCATACGCCGAATCCACAATGGAGAGTCCATGGCTTACCTCTTCCGTAACATTACCATGGATGATTAGTTTCACCTGTCATTTTTCCAGCTGGTTTCCTGTAACAGAAAGGAGAAAGGAAACATGCATGAAAAAGCAGTGCCATAAAATTGATAGTATACTTTTAAAAAAGTTTTATAATGGATTTGGTTATTTAGGGACTGACGGCATGAGCTCAAAGTATCAAAATTTCACTGGGCCAGCTGCCAACTAATTGTTCAGTCAAGATAAAGAGAGGCACTGGAATCAGTTTTAAATTGTGTGAATTTTAATAGTGGTGGCCTTTTGCCCTTGTTAAACAAATCTGATGTTTTGTGAGAGGTTGACTGAGAATGATATTCTGATATTTGTGGGAATTTGACTTTACAGTTTCTGTAGTCATGTGGGAGCGCAACAGGCTACACAGAAGGAAGTGGCTTTCCTTTTGCACCGCTAGTGTGCATAATGCCCTCTTCAGAACCATTTTTAATTTCAAGGATGCAACAGAGATTCCGCTTGCAAAATTGTCTAAATGTAGATTCATTTCATGGCAGCAGTGGTTATTTTGTCAGGAGGAACACAACACAATGCTAAGTGGTTCCAGAGTTGTGGAAACTAAAATATTCTACACATTATCAGTTATAGAGCAATAGATTCTAATCCTGACTATCTGACATGAAAGGGGATTGTAGGACTTCTGTTAACCACAATAATTTCTGAGCAAAATGTGAAATCAAGCCCAGTGAAATGAGATTTACTTCTGGCGATATTCTGTGTTCACATGTGGCTCAAAACTGTGGCTTTTTTCTGCAGAAAGTATGGAGAAATCCTTGCAATTCCCCCGTGTGTCTTATGCAGCTGTATTCCCTGATGCAGAATAGTAAAACTAGTCAAATATTACTGGGTCAATCTGTGTTAGCAAGATAAAGTGGTCTCTTCTATTTTTCAACATTAAAGTCTTTGCAGGCTATTCAGCCTGCCTGCTCTTGCTGTGCTTTAAAACATTTTAATAAGCGGAGGTGCAGAACTTGGTTTCTTCTAGGAACTGTCAGTTAGTCGCCACCTTCTGGCTTGGGGGAAAGAAAGCCCTGCCCACCCTTTGTGCTCTGTTTCCCTGCAGCCTCCTCCGACGATGCCAGTTGTACATGTATAAGAGTCCTCAAGTGCTCTAGTAGGTCCCAAGTATATTTTGGAAATGCCTGCCTAGTGCTTTTGGATCATCAGGATTCCAGAGCTTTACGAGTAGATCATGCTCTCAAGTAAATTAATTCTACATTCAGCTCGATGTCATTTCTAAGAATGAATACCATACCTGTATGACAACAGAAATGTGACTTATTTTCCTACCAGTGGCTGTAAAGCAGAACACAGAGTTATCTGTACTCTTTGTGTGCTGGAGGCCTAAATCTGCTGTTGAATTTATTTATGAGCTGTGAAGCTGTTTGTGGTCAGATTAGGCACAGGGCTTGGTTACTCCTTGTCTTTCTCATTAGTGACAGCCATTCAGAAAGGCAAAGCTACCATAAAGATGGGATAAAGAAGGCACAGTTTGCTGATACAGCAGCTCCCTTTGCAGAAGCCTCCGTAGCATGATCTAGACTAATGCTTGTCATTTCACTCTGCAGTCGTTTGACCAATTCAATAGGCTGAGCTTTCCTTTCCTTTGATGTAACTGCTTGCTTAGGTTTTCTGAGTCCAGACTATTTATCTTTTAAGATCTGACTGACAGCAAAATTACATCAAGAGCAGATCTCTCCCCTCACCATACTGGTGATAGAGTGAAAGGCAGAGGGGGAACCCACACATGATAAAACCAGGCCCTTACGATTTGAGTTAAGGGAACGGAATCTTGACAAACCATGTACCTCTGACCAGAGTTCTTCTCCAGCTTCCTGTGTTCACTCCCTTCATGGCCACTCCTTTTCTCATAATACCTCAAGTCTTGCATATATGATTTCCCTAGTTAAGCTTTCTTCTTGGCCTATGTAGCCCCACTTGCCTTTCTATTTTTTAGCTCGCTGTTTAATTTACCCCATCGTTTAGCTTACCATCCCCCTCCAGATTCAGTCTCCCTAAGCTTCATACTGATTGCAGCTGGATCCATTACGAAAAGTACTTCAGATATGCTTCCTTCAGAATCTAATGACTGAAGCTGTGGGTTTCAAGTACTCACTGCTACTGCACACACTACATCAGAAGCATATAAAGAGTATTTATAATCCATCTTCTTAACATTCTGTGATATAGCCAGAACTGCTTGCTTGCACATTGCGGCTGTTCCTGTTGCCACCCGCATTCAAGGTCAAATTAACCTTGTTTAAGGTGGCCATTCTGAATGAGATATTCTGCTCTGATGGAATCTTTACACTTAACAGTGACTTGTCCTGAACATTTAGTATTGGGTTGGCTATAAATAAATGGATTCATTAACTCATCTGTTATATCACTGGCTAGTTCTCCATGACATCATAGCATCTCAGCCGCTGCTGTCAGAGGCTTCTTGTCTATGTGTTTGTATTTAAGTGCATTGTAATATAATCGATCTTCCAAATGTCTGCATTGGGAGAAAGAGGAGGATAATGATCCTGTTCTGGAACTTACCAGCAAAAAAATTACAGAAGTTATTGGTTAACTAATCCAAACCAATAGCCATATTCAAAGAGTTGTTTCACCCAACCAGACCTATACCAGAAGTGGTGACAATTGGATGCTAAAAGTGCAGCAATGCTACACCAGCTTCACAAGCATATATGCAAACATAACTAGGTGGGGTTTAAGTGCTTGAAGTATTCAGTGGCAATTTGAGTTCATGTTTGCAATTGTAGGAACTGAGCCACACACAGTGTACCTTCTGGACAGGTTAACCAGAACCAGCTTTTGATGTGACACTCTCTTCCCTCCATTAACTACATGAGTAATCCGAAACATGTAAGAGGATTTCATGGGGAGCCATGCACATTCTTCCAACCCCCACTCCATTTAATCCTTAAGGGTGCATTTTTCTTTCTTATCCCCCCCTACATATTTTCCTCCCACATCTGAATCTAGTTTAATCAGAAGAAGATTACAAGTCCAGGAGAGGCCTTAACTGTTCAGCAGGTAAAGAATCCTCGATTTATTTATGCAAAAATGCACAACACAACTACCTTTTTTTGTCTCCTGGCGATTATATAAGTGTGTATGTTGACATACAAGGACACTGTTCACTGTAGAAATCTAAGTTTACAAGTGTTAGATTCCTGTGAGTTGAATCTCAAATCTCTAAGCAATACTTCGGGATAGACTCACAGTGATTTCACTGTTAATACTGAGCATTAAGAGAAAGGTTACCATGCCTGTTTCATTACTGTGATTTTATAAGCTTGAGTTCAAAGTCTTCTGATATTTTTTCAGTGTGAACAGAATACATTTTTAAAACTATTAATTGCATTTCCTAGAGTGGGTGGCGTGAAACTCTGTTATGATGTCTCCTTTGCTCTTAAGCATTTTACAGTTTATGCTGGATATTTAGTTGCTAGACTTGAAAACCATCAAAATTACTCATATACGTGTTGGTGAGCAAAAATATTCATCTGTGCATTATCATATAGCTTTGTTCAAACACTGTATTGGAGTTTGATCTTCCTGTTAAGTAGTTTGGCAAAGACAATCTGTTCATGGAAGTGAGATCTGGAAAAGGTGATTCACTCAAGTTATGTAAAAGTATTGTGAATGGCATCTGCATTTCATGAGATGGCTAATTGTAGAATCTTTGTATCTGCACTTAAGCCTAAATTTGTGGGGGGTTCCCCCACAGAATCCAGTTGATGCTAATTAGCACAGGATTCTTTCTTTAGTCTTATTAGCCTTAAAACCATATAAGTGTGAAAAGCCTTTCCTATTCCATCACACTGAGGTTCTTGGGAAGAGACTACCTCTGTCTCACCTACCTCTGCTGATTATTTTCCCAGTTCCTGCTTATGGGAGAATTTCACAAATCTCTGTAAATACTGGCATGTTTATTCATTCTTTGGTTTTTGTTTCCATTCATTGTTCCTTGACTGAAACACTCTGCTTTTAATTACTTTCAGAACTGTGTAACAACAGTGCAGTGTCCTATTTTAAATAGCCATTAAAAATTGCAAAGGAAAGTCTCAAAATCACTTAACATTCAAAATTACTATCTGATGATGTAATAATTATCTATTTTTAATAGGAAATAGTTTCTCAGTTTTACATTTAAAGTAGTTTTATTCATTTTCATTACTCCATGTTTTTATTAATTTGAAATTTTAACAGCAGAAGCATTTCTCCCTCATTTTGTGCTGTAATTTGCTTCATAGTTACTTAATGCCTTTTTTGACCAAGATGACAGGGTGGTGCATAAAAAACATTGATTAATGCAGTTGCCTGCCTACCATTTTAAGCTATCCACTGTCTGCACAAACTAAACATGTGAAAGAAGAGAAAATCATTTGCACCTTAGCTTTCTGAGACTCCCAGATGGTGCTGTGCCCCATTGTGCAAGAGTGACACAGCAACCCAAGCTGCACAGAATGAGTGAAAAACCATGGGCCCACTACACCTGTATAATCCGATGAAATGTTTTATCCTTTGGAAATATGCATGATGCTCTAATAAGGTATCTTTTGAAACCAGTGCAGTTTCATGCTTTGACCTGTTTTGGATTAATATGCTGCTTGCATTTTCATTGCCTTTTAAAAACAGAGTAAGTATACACACCAGCACAGATCTCCAAAGAGCAGGACATTCTAAAACTAAAACTTATCTCATATAAGGTTGATTAAAGTGCATTAGTCTTTTTAGGTTCTATCCCTTAGAAAAAAGGGATATATGTGGTTTTTCTAACTTTGATGTTGTACAACATCATACCATATCTGAAAAATGCTGTTCAAAATTAGGAAAATGACATGTTTCCATAATAACCATGTTGTCATGGATGTCCCAGGGACTATCCATTGTTGACAGTATTTTAGCCTAGGAAACAAAACTTATCAAGCAATAGCTGTGTCTTTAAGTGCAAAATACTGTGGTCAGAAAGTGCAGTATTCTAACAGAGCAAACATGGTCACCCTCTTTAGGCATTAAAGGATCTAGCTTTGTCAACATGCTAGCCCCATCCCTGCTGTTGCCTTCTTAAGGTGAATAATCAATCTGTAGAACAGTTTTTCCTAACCTTGGGTCCCCAGAGGTTCTTGGACTACAACTCCCAGAAATCCCAGCTAGCACATCTAGTGGTGAAGGCTTCTAGGAGTTTTAGTTCAAGAACATCAGGGGACCCAAGGTTGGGAACAATTGCTGTAGAGGATTAATTCCAACTCAGTAAGCTCTACATGTGAGCAATGGACCTAGAAAATTAAAATTCATCTTTGTACGAAAAGCCTAAATTTGAACAGGGATTTCTCTTCTTCAGACTTGTTCTTGTTGAAGAAAATAGGGAGAGGGTTAGCTGCTCCCCTCTGACCATGTCAAAGAAATGGCATTCTATAACACCTGAATAGGATTTTCGTTGAAAGAATATGTGTACAGGTAGTAGTTCAATTTATGTAAGAAGACTCTTCTAGAAAATTGTCCATGGCTGTGAAATATATATATCATGTGGGAGGTCTTCCGGTGTATTTTAGAAAAAATTGCTGAATCTTACTCATATCAAATACACTGCTCAACAAAACCTGAATCCCCTTCTTTTTCCTGAGCCAGAATGCAAGTCAGATTGGGGCCCATCTCACAGCATGTGGAACTGAAATAGAGATTTTGCAGTACAGTATGTGGCATGATAGCATTTTTGGATTGGTCTGCAGAGATGTATTGCTCAGGATCCTCATTGGATACACCAGGAAAATTGGCTTCTTTTGTATTGCTCAGGATCCCCATTGGATACACCAGGAAAATTGGCTTCTTCCAGCAGTAACTTTCATCCTGTATCTGAAGGTGGAGTGATGCCATTCCTGTAATGTTGAACCTCTATGAAGCTGTTATGTCTCTTGTACCTGCTGCCAGCAGCTAAAATGAAAAGCCTGCTGCCCTGCACGTGTGTTTGTTCTTGGTCTTCCAAATCAGTGTGAACTAAAAGAAGCTCTTAAGTATTTGCCATTCATTGACCTTGTTTGCTATGTGCCTGTCCTCAATTGCTATGACTGCTGCTAGGAACTGAAGGTTTATAGAATGATTATCTGACTGCTAAAAAATAAACAAATGAACAGTTTTATCTTTTCAGCCTTTGGATGCGAACTTGGCCTGTAAACTATAACTCGTCATTTTTATTTTCACTTTAAAGTTGTGACCAGGAGATTCAAGGGGATTCATACTGTTAGACTAGGAGACCCTTAGTCCTGGTGGTGGATGCCTCCCAGACCCAGGCAGGGACAAAGTCTCCAGCCAGCTGCATCCTCCTTATTTGGAAACAAGAACCTGTTTCTCAACTCTGCTCTTAGTCTGTTCTCTAATGAGCCCAACCACTCTTCTATCTCCCTTCTTTACATGCTGCTATCCCAGCTCAGGGGGTGAAGAAAAATCTTCTGATGATTGCTGTTGGTCAAAATGGATCACAAAAGGGATGAACGGTACATTCCTAATCTTTACCTATACCACACTCTTCACCTCTGCACATGAATGATGCTGATTAAATGCTAAGCAGGCTGCAGACATAATAGACTTAAAGCAGCAGAGTTAATATTGTGCTCTTCATAGAGCACAATAAATTTCAAGATGAATGTGGCATATTAGGCTACAGTCATACTGGGGAGTAAGCCTCATTAAACACAGCAGGGGTTGTGTCTCTGCGTGTATTTGCAGTTATTGAATGGCTCTACTCAGTTTTGAAGAGTTAAAGCAAACATCATAAACTATAGTACACAAATGCATTCCAAACTACACAGACTGGACTGACTGATAGCCAACTGGGGTGAATCTACGTTTTTAGTTAGCATTTTCAAAGTTTGGCAGATGAAGAAAGAGGTATAATATGTTTCCCTTCCTGGCTGCTGTTGGTTGCTCTGTTCTCTTGCACAAAACCATACCTACTACCACCCCGGCTACTTTTCATTTCCTAATGCACATTTGTAAAGGAATTCAGCTTTCCTTGACGGAAATCCTGTTGCTTAGCATAGGCTCACTAGAGTAGGTCCATTGAATCAGTGAGGGCATTAGGTAACGCCATCAGCCCTCCACAGCACAGTTGCAGGAACAGGATGTCAGTCATTGACTTGGTAACAGCTATAAGTGGAGGTGAGATACAACAGACTTGGATGAGCTCCATTTTCCAGCTCTGGCAGAAGTTATTCCTGGGGAATTGTTTTCTCTTGATGTTATGTAGTGTTCAAAATCTTTGGAAGCCCAATTAAAATCTCCAGGATTGCATTCAGTAGTTCACTAGAGCAGTGCTGATTCCTTTACAGTGGCAATGCTCCTGTTGTCCCTCTGGAACTCCACGTAGACAAAATCTACTCTCTGCGTCTCGGTCTTGAGAGTGGCGATGAATAAAGGGTTATTGTATTAAGCTTATGGTGAGCAACAGCACATGCTGGGGGAGGGTGGAGTGGAAATTGCATGACTGAAGGGTTTTCAATAGAGATTTAAATTGTGACATATCATTAAATCGTCGTTTAGTCGTGTCCGACTGCCCCCATGGACCAGAGCACACCAGGCCCTCCTATCTTCCACTGCCTCCCAGAGTTGTGTCAAATTCATGTTGGTTGCTTCGATGATACTGTCCAACCATCTCATCCTCTGTCGTCCTCTTCTCCTCCTGCCTTCACACTTTCCCAACATCAGGGTCTTTTTCAAGGAGTCTTCTCCTCTCATGAGATGGCCAAAGCATTGGAGCCTCAGCTTCAGGATCTGTCCTTTCAGTGAGCACTCTGGTTTGATTTCCTTTAGAATGGATAAGTTTGTTCTCCTTGCAGTCCAGGGGACTCTCAAGAGTCTCCTCCAGCACCACAATTCAAAGGCATCAATTCTTCGGTGGTCTGCTTTCTTTCTTTCTTTCTTTATGGTCCAGCTCTCCCATACATCACTACAGGAAAAACCATACCTTTGACTATTCGGACTTGTGTTGGCAAGGTGATGTCTCTGCTTTTTAAGATGCTGTCAAGGTTTGTCGCTTTCCTCCCAAGAAGCAGGCGTCTTTTAATTTCATGGCTGCTGTCTCCATCTGCAGTGATCATGGAGCCTAGGAAAGTAAAATCTGTCACTGCCTCCATATCTTCCCCTTCTATTTCCCAGGAGGTGATGGGACCAGTGGCCATTATCTTAGGTGTTTTTTTGATGTTGAGTTTCAGACCATTTTTTTCACTCTCCTCTTTCACCCTCATTACAAGGTTCTTTAATTCCTCCTCACTTTCTGCCATCAGAGTGGTATCATCTGCATATCAGAGATTGTTGATATTTTTTCTGGCAATCTTAATTCCGGCTTGGGATTCCTCCAGTCCAGCCTTCCACATGATGTATTCTGCATATAAGTTAAATAAGCTGGGGGACAATATACAGCCTTGTCGTACTCCTTTCCCAATTTTGAACCAATCAGTTGTTCCATATCCAGTTCTAACTGTTGCTTCCTGTCCCACATATAGGTTTCTCAGGAGATAGATAAGGTGGTCAGGCACTCCCATTTCTTTAAGGACTTGCCATAGTTTGCTGTGGTCCACACAGTCAAAAGCTTTTGCATAGTCAATGAAGCAGAAGTAGATATTTTTCTGTTCCTTAAATCAAAGCCACTCTGATAACAGTGGCAGGGCTCAATGTCCTCTTCACTTACAGTCTGTCTTAGCTAATTCAAGAGATCATCTTCCTCTACATACATACTTACAACTGTAAATGACAATTTATTGTGGTGGAGGAGCCTTTTAAATAGGGCCAAAGAGGTAGCACTCTAACTGGAATTTTAGACAGTGAAGCGGACGGAGAAGATTGTTACAAATCCTTTGGCTGATTCTTGTCTTCAAGAATATCCTAAGAGGTGATACTGCTTACCCTGGAAATAACACAAATGCAAATAATGAAGAGATTCAAGTGGTTAAGAATTATGGAATATCCATGTTTTAGATGCTGAAAGAGGAGCTACTTTATTTCACATTAATGGTCCCATAGTTAAGAGAATGCACGCAAAATAAGTGTATTACATGGCACACAGGCCATTGCAATA